TGGAACACAACTGAAAAAATTCTGTTAGAGGGTCAACATTTTGTAATCGACACGATTTTAAAAACACATATTTTGCCAAGTACCCTGCGCAGAATCGTTTTTTCATATATCCGTAGTTAATGATGTATTGTTATTTTTATATTTGTAAATATGTTTTTAGTTACCTATATTCTAAGTTCTAATTGTTCCTTTTTATTTACTGTACCTATTTAATTAAATTGTATCTTAAATTGATTTTTAAGATTGCCCGATAAGCCTCTACTCCACCACAAGCCTAAAAGTAGATATATTCTTTATCTCATTATATTTATGTTTTCTATGTTATTTGTAGTAAACTGTAAAGAAACTATTCAATTTAAAAAAATAAATGGGTAAAAATAAATATTATTAGATAATTAGCACATTGGTAATTCACTCATTGCACTCATTGATTCTAAATGAGTCGAAATCATTCTCAATAAATCATCATAGTCAATCATTGGCTCTGTCTCTTATAAGGTTTTACGTGATTGAGGCGTGGGCGGAAATCCATTAAAATTCAGGGTGGGGGGGGGCTAACATTATTAACATCAATGTGAGAGGTGGGCTCAGGGGCGTCATTTGGGGGTGGGCAGGGTGTGCGACGGCACCACTAACATAATAGAATAAATAATTGGCCCTCCATGAATGCTCCTATGCGTGGATATGATTACTATTAAAAATTAATAAAATATTCTTGGCCCAGTGGCGCTGGAGTCCAACATTTTAACTATGACATTAGACACCTCCACATAAAATGTTGACACCCACCTATTTATTATAATTGCCTTACCATACACCAACTAAATATATATTTTGGGGCCACTGATTCATGCATGTAATTTAAATTTATTTTTTTTATGAGCTTTATGAGCTTTATTATCAAATGTATCCCTATTCGATAACCGTGTGAAGCGAGTCTTATTCTGTGGTTTTATTATGTAAGACAGTTCGTGCCAGCCTGCTGGTATTAGCTGTAATGGAGTAAGCATAGCATAGTTGATAATATATAAGAACCTATAGAAAAATAACTAATAATGTAGTGTTATTTTGTATGAATATTGAAGTGTTTAATTTTTGAATTACATTTATTAAAAATATTTCCTTAAACCGCATTTGCTTTTAATTCTCCAAATAGTAGTAAAATAGCTTCTGTTGGCCGCTAGTTGCTACTTGTTTTAGTTACTTATATGATTTTATTAAAAGTCTTCTAATACATTGAACTGCTAGCTATTTGAAAATTTCAATATAAATTAGTATTGGTATGAGTAATTTTTTATTAGGATTATAAAAGAGAAGAAGATAATATTAACATACTAAATACTTTAAACGGCATGGTTATTTTTTAGATATTAATGTTAAACTTAAAGTTGGCCTGGTTAAATATTAAAATTGGCCTGCCTAAAATCTTGCACACCCGGAAAAAAAACTGAAATGAGGCCCCTGGGTGGGCTTCGATCCGACAAAACTAAAAAAGGAAGGAGCTTGATTTACTTTTGTGGGGGTTAAGCCCTAAGCCCCCTCAAGACCCCCCAACAATTTTCGCCAATGGATTGAGGATTAATTTATAAGACTGGAGGCACTTACCCAATATATAGGTACGATTTTAACTAGTTTAAGACTACGGACGCACTAAGGTTATTTAAAAGCTAAAAGAACAAATTCACTTTAGCTACCCAACACATTTTTTGAATTTTTTTTACGAACATACGTATTTCGACAAGAACGATGGTGCAAAAACAAATTTGCCGAATCATTATTTTGGAAGTTATAAGTAAGTTATTTAGAACAAAAAGGGTGCTGGGTAGCTAAATTTAATTTATGCCAAGGTAAAAATTAAGATTTGGACACACTCAGAATATCTCCGTTTACCATCTAAATAACACTATAATAGGTAGGTACCTATACCGCTCATACCTATTTTGCGACGTCATAAGCTGTGTTTAGTTCACAACACAACACTTCACTGCAACATAAATGGTTGGTTAAAATATTTGTAAGGTGATTTTAATAGCTGATATTTTAGCTGATCCTATCAAGGTAATAATAATAACAATAATACAAAAACAATTAATACAAATATGAATAAACTAAAATAAACTCATTCATGATGTATTTGCTTGTGGAAGGGATATGGGCGATATGGGCGATCGCCTGTACGGCCGTACTCATGACCTAAATAAATTATTTGTATACTAACAGACAAGAATTAGCAAGTTAACTAATTTTTTGAACTAATAAAAAATTAATATAGAAAAATGTAAGATAAGTTTAAAGTGTAAAGTAACTTTTATTTACAAGTTCATAAAATTAGAAAGTAAAAGAACTTAATAAAAAATCAGTTACTTTTTTAATGATTACATCACAATTATTATTATTATTTTTACTACTTACACATTAGAAAAATAATATATAAACGACCGTATATGGACACTGGATAAACTGGTTATATTTTTATTTTCTCAATAATAGTGAGATAGGTACTATTTATAATAATCTGTTCTGTTGAATGCCATAAATGCCCAGCTTTACTTACAGTCAACTGTAGGTACTTATATATTATGTAATAATATATACAGATGCCAAGGAAAAAAACGATTTGTGTAAATGTGCAGGTATATATCTCCCCACTCCCCCACCCCATAAAACTATAAGTCACCAGCTGTTATTAGATTCAGAAAAGACTTACCCTTCCACCACCCTCGAGTTACTTGGTTTATGTTTTGGTGTCCAATATTTTCGAGAGTACTTATGGGGACGCAAATTTACAGTATTTTGTGACAACATAAGCTTACAATATTATAACAACCTAAAAATACCCTCCCCTAGGATAGCTAGGCTAACATTAAAATTATTGGACTTCGACTTCGATATTAAATACATAAAAGGCAAAGAAAACAAAGTCGCTGACTCGCTATCAAGAAATGCAATTAGCAATATTAAAATCATGAATATCATTAATGACGACAACGACGCACCGAATAATTTACACGATATTAAAACACAACAAAAAAATGACCAATTTTGCAATGACATAATAAAAGCACTGTCGAATATAGAGGTACCCACTAACATAAGACGAAAATCTAGACAATTTACATTAGAAAATGAAATATTATATTATAAAAGATACACACCACCGAAAAGTTATAACCCAATTATTGTAATACCAAAAACATTGATTAATGAAATATTAAAATCCTATCACGACTCACCCACAGGTGGACATACAGGCATATCACGCACTATTCATAAAATTCAAAACAAATATTATTGGCCCTCATTACACAAAGACACCACTAATTTTATTAAATCTTGTGATGAATGTCAAGTCAATAAAAAAATGAGCGGTAAACCAATAGGTCTATTACATCCCATACCAATAACGACAGGGAGACCATTAGATAGGATAACATTTGATTACCTAGGCCCCCTAGTATCAAGCAATAAAAAACGATACATTTTAGTAGCCGCATGCAACACCACAAAATACATATTTACCAAAGCAGTTGAATCGGCCACGGCCGAAGCAACTGCCAAATTTTTAATAGAAATTGTATCACATTGGTGCTGTTTTAGAAACTTTTCGTCCGACCGAGGCACTCATTTCAGAAATAAATTAATCACTGATATATGTTCAAACTTAGGAATAAATCAAACTTTGTCAACGAGTTATTCACCGCAGACACAAGGGCTAGTTGAAAAAATTAATGGTGTACTAACAGGCTCCTTAAAAAACTATTTAACAAACGGTGATCAAACAAAATGGTCATATTTCTTGCCATACATAACATTAGCATACAATTCCACACCCCAAACTACCACCAAGTTTAGCCCGTTTTATCTAATGCACGGTTTTGAACCAATATTTCCCATAGATAACAAAATTATTCCCGAAAACGTACCATATTGTTTAAAACAATCATTAATAGAACTAAATAAAATAAGAAATAAAATACCACAGCAAATTCATAAAGCTCAAATAATTCAAAAAAAATATCATGATAAAACACATACAGCAATAAATTATAACATTAATGACTTAGTTATGATTAGTTTTCCATTCCTCGAAGTGGGAAAGTCTCCCAAACTAGGACCCATGTACAGAGGACCATTTAAAATAGTAGACAAAATCAACGATTTAAATTATAAAATAAAAATGACATTAAACAACAAAGAAACCGTCGATACTATACACGTACGGAGGTTAAAACCATACTACAAAAGGGTCTAAATTAGGGCACTTTCGATTTTAACTCTCTAAATACCAACATAATTAATCTAAAACGCAATAGGCTCAGCCAGTCAAAATATAAATATATTTATATATTTTTGTTCTTTCTTCCTTCCCTCTCTCTTTTTTTTTTTTTTTTAAAATTATTATAACAATAAAATAAATACAAACAACTCATAAAATACATATAAATGCAAAACGTGCAATGTAACAAATAAAAAAATATTTCAACCAAAACAAATTATTTATATAACACGCACCACAATAAGTTCTAATAATATGAATTGAATATTAATATTCATACAAAAATAATAGCAAATACACTACCTATTAATTTAAACATTTTACGACTAGTGCATTATTATACCTGTATGCACATTATTTATTATTATTATTTATCACATAACTTAAGTAACAATTAAATAAAACTATGCATATGAGAATATCCCAGCCATAATACGTAAACCATTATTATTCGTAAAAAAAAAAAAAAATTTAATTTATATGTAATACGCAAATACACTATATAATTTAATATAATTTATTTGTCATACATTGTTTTATGTTATGTTTTATTATACAGGTAAATGTTACAAACACACACTAACAGTATATTGTTTCAGAGGCCAAGCCAAAACGTCAAATCAGCCATAACTAAAGTATACATAAATAAATAATAAACAAATATATAATTAAATATTACCCCAAAAAAAAAAAACTAATAAACGCACACAACAATTTTACAAAGATGCAGTTATCTAATACAAAATTAATATTCACATTTATTCTTACCCTAAAATTTAATCCCACACAGACATTCATAGCTTACGACTGCGAAGGTCCACAAGTCAACATAACTGCATTTAACAGTATAAATGTAGACTTTTGCGAAAACCCAAAACCCACAGTTATACAATCAATACCTAAAATAAAATTACTGCAGAAAATTGAAATACATTCACAACAATATAAATCATGTTTCATTTCCATAGATTACCTATTAACGAGATGCTCCACATTTGAAGACGCACAAATGGTAGAAGGGGGATTTTATTCCGAGATAATTGAATTAGGACACGCTCGATGCGAAGAAATACACCACAAATTAATTTACCAAACCCCGTTAGGGGGCATAATATCGGGCTTACATATAAATGAAACTTTCATTACATCCCACACAAGTGGTGGATCTCTAGACAAAAATGGCAACTGTATAGGGACAACATTTACAAATTCCAGGGGTACATGGAACAATGTAATAGTACAGGCTAAATATAATATTCATTTATCTGAGGGCACAGCCATGGCAAATACCAAGGAAAATATTCTAATTTTACCGACAGGGTCTAGGTTAAAATTATCAGATTCTTATGGGCTTGACCAATACAAGGGGGAAATAATATGGACAAACGAAAGACAAGACTGTAGTATATCAGAATACGACGTATTATATGACGGACCAGCCTCCATTGTCACTTCCGAAACCCATAACAATTATAAAATTGATACGTACGTTGTAGAAACAACATACATAGCTTTTGCGCTAAAAAAAGTATCTATGACATTCGCGTGCAATATCCCGGTCATTCAAACTGAAAACAATCAATTACTAATTATATCCCACCCAATTTACGAAAACAGTTTCACTGCTGAACAAATTCAACCCTTTAATACTGACCTGCTATCGTATATCAACACAAAATTTGTATATCTGGAATACACGATAAAAAGAACGGTGACCAAGCTTTACGAAGACCTCATAAAAAAACAATGCAACTTTGAAAGACAGCTTCTCTTACAGAAACTCACCCTCGCTTCATATAGCCTTCCCGAATTCGCATACACCATAGGAGAAGGACCCGGATATATAGCTATAAAAAACGGGGAAATCATATATCTCCAAAAATGTAAACCTGTCAATGTAGAGATATCTATACAAACCTCATGCTTCAACGAATTACCGGTGCTGTATAACAATAGAACACTGTTCATGACCCCAAAATCACACATACTTCAAACTTACGGAACGCAGATTGACTGCAATGAATATTTGCCACCAGCTTTCCAAAAAAATGGAAAATGGTTTTCATTAACACCAAAGCACCATAAAGTTATAATCCACAAACACTAAAACCAGACACTGCACTAAGTTGGTCATACGAAAGTTCAGATAATTTTATGACGGCAGGCATATACACACCCGATATCATGAAAGCACTCCAAAATCATTTAATGTTCCCTCAAGAATCTGAAACGGTCCAAAGAAATTTAATACAACAGACACTAGGCCATGACGTTATAAACCAGGGTATAAATATAAAAAACCTAATAGATGAGCAGACTATAAGTAAATTAGTACATCAGGAATTACACAACATATGGGGCTGGTTCACGAGTTTCGGCAATATAATGTCTGGCGTGCTAGGATTAGTCATAATTTGTAAAATGATCATAACACTCATAAACACTGGGCTAAATATCACTTTATTATATAAAACATTCGGGTGGAGCATCAAACTTATTGCGGGCTTATTCTCCAACGTAACACACCACTTAATGCATAACACACATAAGAAACAATATAGTTCCAGCAATTGCCAGATTAAAACAATAAAACCTAAAAGGCATGATAAAGAATCTGAACAATTATCAAATAATAGGAGACTCTCAGTATAAAAAAAATATATTTAATTATATAATATAAACACATAATTACACTAATAATAATGATAAATAAAAAGATTCAAATCAAGACGTCGCACAACACGCTCAAACTTAGATAACTTTTTTCTTTTTTTTACCTAGTTTAGAACACATAAATTATAGATTCTAAGTTGGAAAATATATATCAATTACGCATTAGTATAATTAAATCGATTTAAGTTTATGCATAAATGAGTACTTTTAGTATAAATACGAAATATTATATAACTAGTATATAAGAATTACAGAATAACATTAACAAATACAAATAACCTACTTTAAGTTACTTACCTAGGTACTAAAATACATTTAACCTAATTTAAGTTAATATAAGAAAAAAAAAAAAACAAATGTTAAAGCCAATAAAATATGAAAAATATGTAAAAAAAAATTAACCGTATAAAAGTTAGCATAAGATTTTAAAAAAAAATGTTAAAGCAAGTAAAATATGAAAAATATGTAAGAAAACTAACCTAATTTAAGTTAGCATAAGATATAAAAAAAAAAAAAAAATGTTAAAGCAAGTCAAATACAAAGATTGTACAACATTTTATCTAACCCTGTTTAAATCATCAAAAGCATCAAAATAATTGTAAAAAAAAAATATAAATTAATAAAAAAAAAAAATAATGTAAAATAACTAACCTAATTTAAGCTAGTAAAAGTAAGAAAATAAATATTAAGCCTAGGAAATATTAAACAAAAAAAAAAGAAAATGAACTATGTTTAATTCTTAAGTTATCATAAAAAAAAAAATGTCTATGAACTAAGTACATTGTAAGCGAATTAAATATAAAAAAATTATAATTAGATAAGCGCACCAAAAATATAATTGGTTAGAAGTTTAAACTTTGTAGAATATATAGAATAATAGCAAAATATGTAAAAAAGTAAAAAAAAAGTCATGATATGTCAACATGACAATATATTGTATACAAATATTAAATTTAAAATAAATTGTATAGCTATCATTACAACACTAGATAGGGAACTTAAAATATAAAATATATATGATTGTTAACAAGAATAGAAACACAACAATGGAATGCGGGGAGTACGAACTTTCAGTCTCAGTTCTATCCACCTATAATATCTTCCTATGTAGTATGTAAACCTTAATCTTAATCACATTGCCCCTTTTGATTGTATAGTAAAATGTTTTCCTTATATAAATGTATATAAATGTCCAGTTTAAATTATATTCAAACTTTTTCAACTTCAACTTTCAACTTTCAAATTTCAAATTTCAATTTTTTTTTTTTTCACTTTTTCACTTTTTCTCTCTCCTATTAAATATTTGTACTGCTCTCACTCTCGCCCACGAGCGGTGTTGTGAGGGCACAACACAAAAAAGTGTAGGGTGGATGTAATGATATGCTCACACACCATTATAATAAACTAAAATCTTACAGAATACTTAATAAATAACGGCCAGACTGTCGTTTGTAGAAATCGGTCACATCAAATAAAACCATTATTAACGACAACTAAGATATCGGCACCCACTCATAACGGTAAAACACAGGATGTGTGACTTTATTATACGATGCCGCCAGAGAAAAGGAAAGAAAAAAAAGGGTATCTGCCGCCAAAGAATAATCTAGTTCCCAAGCTCACTGTTCGCGCCAAGCAATTATTGCTTATCGCGGGACGCTAATCAGCGCGACGGCGACATCTTCCCTCCTCTTCCGTCCACTCATCCAGTATCTCTTGCCGTTACTATAGAGCAACGATTATGAAAATTATAATAATTGTACGATTGTTGTACTTCATATTCTATATACTCTCTTTGTTTTTCTTATAAAAATTATCTGTCGGCCTTTTGCCTCAGACAACTGTTGTCAATGTTATCTCTATGAGATAAAACTTTTGTTTTTGTTTTTATTATTGTTGCGGCCAACGCCCTTTTTGTATTGTTATTATTCAATTATTCAATTATTACTTTTCGTGTTTTTTTGGTCCGCTATTACAGCGTCCATACGTTTTGTTTGTTTTTTATATATTGTGTGATCCGCTCATATAGCGATCAGTATTATTATTATTATTATTCATATAAATATTATTTGTTGTGATCTGCTAATATAGCGATCCGTGAATGGTGTGTGTGGTCCGCTAGTAAAGCGAGAACAAAATATATTTCATTATTTTATTACAATAAAAATACGATCTTCAGCAAAAATTCGTAAGTCTAATTTGTCATTATCTCTCTCGTCATCATCTTTGGCAGCTCGTTGTTGTCAACGTCGGTGCCGTCAGATTCCGCGCGTAAGTCCGCCAGCAACGTAGGTCTGTACGTTGTGTGAGAGGCCGCCCCAGGTCGTCCAGGTCGACAAATGCCAACAGCGTTAATCCAGTGGGTCATCTCAAGACTGCAGTAGGGTTAAGGTAGTTTTAAGTTTTATCCCTATTGTTGTGAGCTCTGTGGTCATTGCACCAAACCGAATCGGCCACAGAGACCCCCTCCCCATAACTAGCCTGCACCATCCTCACTCCTACAAATAGGTCTTTCCCATCCTCGTCATTGTCGTCGTCGTGCGTAGAATTGCCTACCCACCAACTATCAGGCGAAAGCACCTAAGGTTGCCTATCAACCACAATAGGAGGCGATAGGAGTGATACAGGCAACGTCTAACACTCTCCTGATCAATAAATTGTTCTCGGGCATCACCGAGTGGTCCTTCGACTGTTACGGTTAAACTCTCGGGCGTAAACACTCACGATAACATTTTTGATAAAGCCGCCTACCACTCTCTGGTCAGCATCGTCTCGTCGTCCCTTAAACCAGTGCATGAGCACCATTCACAGAGTAACAACCTCCAAAAAAAGTCTAAAAAGACCGATTTCAACGAGCGACATTCTGGACTCCTTATGTGAGCAATAATCAGTGCGTTTATTATTTCGAGTTATAATTTAAAAAAATATTACTCTGTGTCTATTAAAACCCTTACAAAATAATTCACAATTGACTGCGGATCAGGTAAGGCAATTAATATAATATTTTATGTTAATTGCACTTATTATATTATCTGTGCATGCTTTTTATACAATTGTGTTGTATAGTGTATTTGATTTAATTCTCGAAAACACGATCTCGAGAGCCCTCCGATCACCTGGAGGAAGGTAATTGCTTAGTCTTACGATTTTAATATATTTATCGACAGGCATCGTATTTTATTTCCCATCGTAATTTTTGAGTCATTACAGATAGGAACATGATGTTTGAAAATGTTTGGAAAAACTTATTTTATATTTATTACCTGACTATTATGAGACAACTATAACTAGAGTACTAGACCCTTTTAGTTTACGATAAAATTTAGGGAGGTACGTTGGAAGGCAACTCGTATATAGCTGGGAGGAAATTCGTATAAAAATTATTGACCTTTCTGAGGTTGGAGGCAACTAGTGTGCGCACGAATCATGACTACGGTTGAGGCACTGACTATATATTATTCTATTATATTATATATTGTTATAAAATTGTTGTAAAAATAAGGAGCGCTTGTACAATTGGCGAATGTCAATATTGTCAACTGACCCCAAAATAACATTTTTAGGCCCAACTGGTGCCCATGCTGTGATTAGAACAAAACGTATCACTGTATCATTATGTTTTAATATTATAGATGATAATTTAGATGTAACTGAACTGTTTTTAGTATTTTTCTTACATATACAGGATTAAATAGTTCTTTTACTGTAATTCGTTTACCATGATTTCAGATGTTCTAAACTTCTAACTCTATCAAATGGAAGACGTAAGTACCAAGTGGTTATATCTTTATTTAATAATTATAAAAAATACCTAACCTAACCTTCGAGGCATTGGATATGGGCATTTACAGAGGACGACCAGAAAATCGAATTATATTCTAGAATGGAACGTAGGTGTACTAGTGAAAAAAATAATGTCTTAAGAGTAAAGGGATTATTAAAATATTTACATGTCCTACTAATAAACCCTAGTATATAGATGACGATTTTTTTAGAAATAGTTAGATAATGTTTATTGAAAGTAAGATTAGAACTAAACGTAATACCTAAATCTAAATAATAATTTTGAATAACTGTATTACGAGACTTGGAGAAAGTCATTACTTTACATTTATCAATATTCAGCATTAATTTATTTTTTCTGCACCAAATTGATAAGCGAATTAAGTCGTTCTGTAACAATATAGAATCTGAGGATGACTTTATTACTCAAAATAATTTCAATTCATCGGCAATAGTAGTTTTCTAGTGACATTAAAATGTAAATCATTAATAAATAATATAAAAAGCAATGGAGCTAAATGAGAATCTTGTGGAATGCCAGATGGAACATTGAATGGTCCCGAAATAAAGTTTTAACTTTGACAATTTGTTTTCAAATGATCAGTATATGTACATAGGGCATTATGAGACGAACTGGATACAATGAACTTTCCGACAGTATTCAGTTTGTTACCATCATACCGTCAATGTGTTATTTTAACATGACTAAACCTAAGTCTGTTCTGGTCGGCCCCTACAAATTTTATCAGCCGCCAGGGCAGCAGACATGCACACGCCTGCTGCTAATGCTCGGTAAATGGGAATAAAGTAGGGAAAATATTTACTGGAATATATTATTATTTTTTTTAGTACAAATGGTTTATTACTAAATTGTTACTTGTACATTTGTTCCAATGAACTGTTTTGCCAAACCATTTCGGTTCCGATATATTTTCTTAAAATCCAATGAACATAAATTATTCCAATGATATATTTTGTTCTGAAGAATATATACAAATATTACAAAAACATTTGTTCCAGTGTTCTTTTGTTAAAATTACATTTGCTCCAATGAATATTTGTACCAAAACAATGTTTGAAGTTATTGAAGTCTGTGGTTTGTGGGTGGAGTGCATTGTTAAGGTGTGATAGTGGTATCTTGTTATCAACGTGATAGTGCGTGACTTCCATGGTTTTTTTTTCATTATATTTGTTTG